ACATATATATATATATATATGTAGATCATTCCTATATGGCTAGTTCTGTAGATTAGGGTGAATTTGTTGGGTCCCTTTATAGTACGGCACCCTTAGAAAAAGCACCCTGAACGGGACCCTAAATCAGACAACTACCCATATAACATCATATCATAGCTTGTCGTATTACATTCATCTTCTATCATATTGGTCTCCTCCAAAGACCGCGCTTTGGCGAATGTTTCGGGATTAGGGTTTGGTGTTTGGGGTTTCGAACTTGGGGTTTAGAGTTCAGGGGTTTAGGGTTTGCGAGTTTAGGATGTAAGATCTGCTTAGAGGCCCAGGGGACTTAGTAGCTCGGTTATAAGTAGGGTTATAATTGGGGTAACTCCATTTAGGGTACTTATAACTCTACTCGTAACCTACTTACTAAGTCCCCTGGGCCACAAGTGGTGGTTTAGGATCCTAAACCCTAGAACCCCGAAACCTTGAACCCTAAACCCCTAAACCCTAAACCCCTAAACCCGAAACCCTAAACTGTTTGGGCTTAGGATGTAAGATCTGGTGGTTTAGGGTTTAGAGAGTTTCCCAGGATCCGGGCTGGTCCTCTTTCTGTTTCTCTGCGTGTTTTTGTGGGCAAGGAGTGGGAGTACCTTAAGAACCCAAAGCCTACTTTGTTGTAGGGTCCCTATAAATCCCAAATTAGGGTTTATAATAAGAACCTAAGACTGGGTTTTGGATTTTTAAGGTAGGAGTGGGGGACAGGGTCCCGTTTAGGTTTCAGTTTGTTGCGGAAGCAGCGAGCTGTAAAACATGATGAAGAAGCCTGAACCCTAAGCCCAAGACCCGAGGAGGAGGTGATCAAATCCATGTGGGAACCGCAAAAGCGTGCTCCCGAAGGCTGAAAAAGGGTTTAGGGTTTAGGGAAAATCGTTAAGGCTCTAAGGACTCATAGTTTGAGGCTTCTAGGCCCAAAGAGCGTACTTTCTATGGCTGTCGGGCTATTTTGAGCTTTAGCGAAAGGATTAAAAACGGCCCCCCTAAGGGTCCAAAGGACCCAATCATTAGGTACTCGGGTTTGGCAGAGTAGTTTTTTTGTGTAGGTTAGTATTTTGGAGAGAATATGGGGGTTTCCGAAAATAGGGGACCCTAATATAGTACCCTAAATAGTAGGATCCTTATAAAAAAGGGCACCAAAATAAGGTACCCCCTAATTTTCGGAAACTCCCATATGTTTGCTAGGTACTTGGAACCTAAGGGTTTCTCAAGGGTTCTGAAGGGATCCTGAAGCGTCCTACGGGGGTAAGGGTGTCATAAGGATGTTGTTCGGGTTGATGGTAGAGGGGTCTATGTGCCCATGCATTATCTACTTTGGCCTTATTATGGAGTACTGTAAGGCCACAGTGGGTAGAGTTTCTTTGGGATTCCATGGGTGTGGATGTTATGTGCAGTCACCGTGCAGCCCTTGAACACTAGAGCTTTGTTTCCAGCATTTCCTGGTCTTGCGGGAGGGCTCCAAGCATTGTGCACATTGCTTCATGGATTCCTTTGAGAAGACCCGTAGATTAATATAGGGGCCTTAATAACTAGAATTAGGTGTTCGGGCATATCATGCTATAGTTTTGTGACGCTGATGCCGATGGAAATGTTCCGATTTGCTAAATTAATTATTTACGCTTAAACTAGGAATAAAACTATGTTTTCAAAAATAGGAACCGGTTGTAAAGAATTAATAAAAACTTAGTAAATAATTAGTAAAAAATAGGTTCCAAAAATACGTTAAAAACAGCAAAAAAATTGGAAAATAATAGGAAATAGTAGAAAATAGGTTTCCTATTGTTTTCCTTATGTTTCCTATTTTTTTCCTAGCGAAATAGGAAAAATATGAAAATAGAAAAATAGGGAAAACACGAAAAAAAAAGAAAACATTGGAAAACACTAGGAACATATTAGGAAACTCCTATTTTCTAGTATTTTCCTATTATTTCCTAGTTGTTCGTTACTTTTACCTTTTTTCTGTAGGAAAAAAATATGAAAAAATAGGAAATCCTGCTTTGGCAGCAGATAGCAGGAACATGGGAAAAATAGGTCTTTATTTGTTGCCTATTTTGTTCTATATCTTTGCCTATTTGTGTTTCCTATTCTTTTTCTTTTTATTCACTAGTTTTTGGATACCAATTCCTATTTTTCCGCCACTCGGATCCTATTTATTTTTTGTATCACCATTTTGGATTCCTATTTTTTCCTATTTGGGGCGTATTTAATGTATTTTGAACTCTGCCAACCTTTCCATCTCATCAGCGTCACAACTATAGTTATAATAAGGAACCCCCAAAATCGTATTCGTAATTATTTAGGCCCCTACATTACCCTGAAACCTAAATCTCCAAGCCCCAAACCCTAAACCTGAACCCTTGCCACCGTCTGAATCCTTGTGAAATCTCCCACATGCACCGACAAGACAACCGAAACGGAAGAAGTGATACCGCAAACCCTAATACCATATATCTCGAAACAAAAGAGCAAAAATCAACAATCAAGACCACGAGCTCTTAACATACACAAACAAGTCCACGAACGTAAGCAGGTTTGAGCCCCTTAAGCTAAGCCCTCCTACGGGTGCTAAGTCCGTTAAACTTCCGGAACACTCATGACTGAGAAGCAAACCTTAAACCTCTGCAACACTTGAACCTGTTCAAACCTGCTTAATTAATCCTAAATCCCAAGATAGACAGAAGCCTGAAACAAATCCTAAACCCCTCAAGAAAGCAACAGCTCTTCAGAAAAGGGAAAGAACCCTAACCACAGAAACATGGATGCCACTTAACGCGGAACCGAAGCCTCTGTTTTCAACAACCCTAAACCCTAAGTACGAAGAAAAGATGCCAGAGGCTGCCTCAGGGTTGCCGTGTACAACATTCTTGCGGACTCCATGTCCGACGATGGCTTCCTGATTTCCTTTGGTGTAATGAGGCATCTTTTTTGTAAGTTTTCTTACGGGTTTTATGATAGAAAGGCCGTAGGGTGCAAACCGCTGAGTGAGAAACACCCTGCCTTCGGGGATCGCAAATAAGGGGTCACCTCGGGTCTAGGACATTTTCAGGTGGGTGGTTACTGTTTTAGGAGCCTTATAGAAGGTCTGTATACCTGATAGAAGCCTTATAGAAGCCCTAGATACCCTAAACTCCCCACCTGTAGTGTCCTTTAATCGGGGGTCTGCAACCTTAAACCCTAACCCCCCAGGTAGTCATTATCTACAGTAGAAGCTAGAAAGTTGGAACATTAGTGTCCTCATGCCCTTAAGGTAAAGTAAAAGGGATCCTAGCAGAAATGAGCCAAAACCTATGTTCCAACTTTCTGGGATTCGCTGTAAGGTGCTAGAGCTCCTAGGGCAGAGCTCCTACGGCCCCTATATTATAGTAGGTACCTGGAGGGTTAGGTTAAATTTTCCAGGTTGACATATCATCTCACCACCTAAACCCTCAACCCTAAACCCTAAACCCTTTAATATTGTAAGAGGTCGACCTGTTTGGGGCTCATAGGGGCATTCATCCGTTCAGGATGAGGGCTTGCGGCATGGATGCTTGAAGCTTCAGAGCTCATGGTGCCTTATATAAAGGAACTACTTAGAGGCCCAGGGGACTTAGTATGGTCACCTTATAACATTAAGGTTTAGGATTTAGGGTTTAGGGGTTTAGGGATTTTTAAGGTTTACTTAGAGGCCCAGGGGACTTGTAGCTCTACGTATAACCTAGTTACTGAGTCCCCTGAACCTCCAAGTAGTCCATGCACAGAATGCGTACGTATAGATACCTACTTGGTCAAGTATTCCCACCATTTGGCTTGTGGAGCCCATACAGACCCCATGTAAATTCTTACAAGCCGTGGTAGGTACCTTAAACATCAGAATCCCTTGCTCAACCCTTTTAACCCCGATAGAAGTCGATATTTTTCGAGGGGGCCCCTAAACCCTGAACCTTCATAACCCCGAACTCAGCAAGGTTTCTTGGTTCGGCCCGTCCTAGCTGACTGGCCTGCAGGCAAAGGCGCAGTTCCGACGCCTGGACTTGGTGGCTTCTGGCTTAGGGTGAATATCGGGGCCTTAATCGTTGCCTATATATATATATATATCTACATTTTTGTTTTTTTTTTGTTTGAGGGGGGGGTCCTTTTTGTAAATACACGATAAAGGACCCCAAAACCTTGTTCTAAGTATTAAGGCCCCTACATTAGGATTGAGGGTTTCGGGTTGGGGCTGAGGGTTTAAGGTGTAGTATTTCTGAACGCCCAACCTTGGGGTTTAGTATAGGGTCCTTAGTAGTTAGAATCGGGTTCGGGGTATATTATACTATGACTTATTGGCAACGCCCACAGCCCTATTCTAACTACTCAGGGCCCCGACATTGGGGGTTTAGGGCTGCGGTTGTGGTTGTTGGTTGAAGGCTTAGGGCAGCTGAACGGTTCTGCTTCATTGCAGCCTGCTGGTGCTTGAACGAGAGTGGAGCAATATAATGTAGGGGCCCGAATAATTAGAATAGGGTTTTGGGGGCTTCTTATCATAGTTATAGTATAATTCTACCCCAATCCCTATTGAAATTATTCAGGCCCCTATGCACGAGTAAGGCAGGCTGTAAGCTGTCGCTCGTTGGAGTATGTAAGCTTTAGGCAAACGCTCTGGAGCATTACAGACTGCAAGCTTCAGAGAGCTTTGTCACGTGATGGAGCCTCTTTTTCTTCTAAGTTACCCCATTCGCAAAGCTCAATACAGAAAAAACCATCCGATCCGTCCTGCGTGCCATTACCCTAGGCCCTAAACCCTAAACCCCAAAATCCATCACCCTTCAGGCTCTTAGCGTACTTGATGCCCTAAAACCCCAAATCCTTGAGGCCCAAACCCTAAACCCTTGAGGCCTAAAACCCTAAATCCTAGACCTTGTACGGTTTAGGGTTTAGGGTTTACAGTTTAGGGTTTAGGGTTTAGGGTACTTGTGATTGAGGACGAGAGACATGGGAGAGCTAAGGACCAAGGATGGCGGTCCGGTGCCTTTTGGCCAGCTGCTGGCAGACATGCTCGACGCCAAGGGCAACGTAGAGACTGGGTCTCCCTACAGTGTAGGGTTTAGGGTTTAG